GAGATGAGGTTTTAACCTGACAGAGCTAGGTAGTATTGATAACCAAAACTGCATCTAACATGAAAACCATCAGTCTGTCTTCCTCCCCACACCTCAAGTGTCCACTGTATTGGCTCGTCGTCAGAGTTAGGTCACCCTGTCGCTGTGTTCTGGGTTCAGAGGGTTTTAACTCAGGAACACACTGCTGGGATGTGGAGGTTAAAGAGACGTCAGGCTGGAGTCTTGGAGTAACTACAGCATCAAACCAGAGGAAGACACACACTTTCTTTAACACTGATGTCTGGAGTGTGTGGTATCAGCCGGAGGAACTGACTGAATGGTCTGGTTTTCTTGTTAAACAGGATCTTACTCGAGTGAGAGTGAATCTAGACGATGACAGAGGTACGGTGTCGTTCTCTGATCCTGTAACTAACACACATCTACACACATTCACAACCTCCTTCACTCACACACTCCTTCCATTCTTCTGGTGTTTTCCTTGTGACTCTCTGAGGATTTTATCGCTCAGTAGTCAGTAAACGTTACACCTGTAGGTCTGGATGGAGCTGCTTTTACTGACGGTAATAGTCTAATTTGACAGATCACTGGAGACTCAATGATATAAAATAATTTATGTGCATTGAATTACATAATTCACAAAGCTGCTATGAAATAATGTGTATCACACTACAGCACTATAAATAAAAATGATAGGCTTAATAAGAGCACTGCTTCTCTCATCATATTTTTCTAGACCAATAAATACTTGTTCAGCTTTTGACAGAACTGTGAAGATATGATTTCTCTGTCATTGTTTTTTTCACACTGAACACATGATATACCTACTACTGCTTCTGACTGGGACTCTTTATTGGTGTCTTTTTTTAGGATTTCAAGAAGTCAAAGTGTCTGCAAGTGAAGAATCACACATTTATACCCTTCTGTGAACAAATCTGTAAAATGAAGGAAGACTCTCATCATGTTCAAAAGACAGTCACTGTCTCTATCTACTGGTGTAATTATGTAACTGACAGAAAGAGTCACTGATCCGGATCAACAGCTCTGACCTGCCAGCTGGTAATTCACTTTCCAACAATAGTATGTTCCTGCACAACCGGAGGCTGCAGTTTCAGGACCGCAGTTCTAGGACCCTATTATTTTGTAACAGCGCCACCTACCGAGTTGGATCACTAAAGATGGACGACATGGACAGCAATCAGAGTGAGTAACTTTACCGATTTTCAATTAAGTTTTATTTTATAGCCTTAAAACGATGCGTGAGAACTGCTAAGAAATAATAATGAATTCCAGATTGCTAGTTTTATTTATTATTACGTGGTCATGATTTAATTCAGCTAAATCTTGTTGACATAATTACTACAATAAGTCAATCTAGCCAGCACATTAATTAAACTTAAAAAGAATCCATTGCTAATACGAGATTTGAAAAGGGAGGAAAAAAAAGTTCGGCAAAAGCAATAGTATGTTCCTGCACAACCGGAGGCTGCAGTTTCAGGACCGCAGTTCTAGGACCGCAGTTCTAGGACCCTATTCTTTTCAGAGAGCAATCAGAGTGAGTAACTTTACCGATTTTCAATTAAGTTTTATTTTATAGCCTTAAAACGATGCGTGAGAACTGCTAAGAAATAATAATGAATTCCAGATTGCTAGTTTTATTTATTATTACGTGGTCATGATTTAATTCAGCTAAATCTTGTTGACATAATTACTACAATAAGTCAATCTAGCCAGCACATTAATTAAACTTAAAAAGATGATAAAAGCACGTTGATGCGAGATGTGTCAGATTTACCTGTAGCTTACTGTATTAGTGTGAAAACTTGTTTGATACTCATTGTTTTAGCATATTAGTTAAGTATAAATCATCTTTCATAATTAAACTGGGCTCATTGCTTGGTTGCACCACAATATGTGTTATTAACCTGTCCTGTTAGCAGTACTTTAGATTAATCTGGTTGATGTTTGAAAGGCATGGTCAGCGGTTTGCCTTCTGTACTAAAGGTTCACCAAGGGCCTTAATTAGGAATGACATTAACAATATCTTTTAACTATGCTGCAAATTATTGTATCTTTATCTTAAATGCATCAATTTCCTCAAAATAACTGTTTTTGCACCATGGTTTGCCCATAGGGTGTACTCAACGGGAAGCCCTCTAAGTGGTCTCATAAGCTAACCTCTTCCTGTGTGCCTGTCTACCTCGACAGTGAGGAACAACTGTCCTGTTTGCTGATCTGAGAGGAGTGCTGCATAGGACACCAACACAACTGAGCTTCACAGATGAAGTGCAGAGGTATGCCGGACCATGTAATGTGTTTGTGAGTGTCCTGCTCCTGCACTTACAAAATCTAATGTATAAACTGCATGCTGGTGCTACTCATGTATGGACCAATGTATAATGGCTTGCTGTTCAGTAGTGCTATAATAGTATACTTAAATTAACTGTTTTTTCACAGGCCATCATATAAATGCCTTGGCTGTCCTACGGAATTTCTCCTTGCAGGAGGCTGAGCAGGTCTTCCTTTCTGGTCCGGATTATCATTACAGATCAGAGTAGAATATTAATTATTTTTGCACAATGCCCAGTGCACCTTTTGTTACTGATATTTCTGTTAACCCAACAGTGATTGTTCTCTGATAACTATTTCAGTGAAGTGGAAGATTTTAATAGAAGGATTACACTTATAGGATTATACACTTAAATACGGCAGAAGGATAACACTTTCTATGAAGCCTGTAATTCATTATAAGGTTATTCTTAAAGTATAATAAATAATGATATAATATATTACATCATCTTATAAATAATCGTAAGAACAGTTTTAATGTATTATAATACTTATTTGTGGTTAAGCGTATGATGATTTATAACACACAATGAACAAATTGCATCTACAATTACAATGGATTATATTTCTCATAGTTATAATGTATTATAGGTCTCATATCTTGCCATTGTTTAAGATCTGCACAATAACTTAGTACATCTTATTTGTGTTTTTACTGTAAAATAACAAATACAAAGTCTTCATGAAAACATTCCAAAATGCTTTAATGTGGTCTTATTATTATTATTAAGTGCTCTTTGTCTGCTTTAAGTGAAGTAACTTCACTGTACTTAAAGCAGACAAAGACCACTTATTAATAATAATAATAATATTTTTTCTCAAACAGCCATAAGATCTGATATCAGATCA